CCTACCAGATAGAAATAGTGGATATTCACGACCAATATTTCGGACAGCTTGAAATCCGAAAGATCAATTTTTTGGAAAAAATCGTCACAAGCGATCAGCGGAAAACACCACTGAGAAGCGGCCATTTTGGATTTTATGTTTGCTGCGCATGGATTGGCTTGGTTTGGCAGTGCTCCTTAAATACTGCTAAGTCACACTGCTAGGTGACGATGTACAGCTTTTCTTTTTTCTCTAGCTGCACGTCATCATCATCATCATTGTTGTTTCCATTTTGCTTTGTTAATTTGCCATTGCAGTAGTGGATTTGCGCCTCTTATCTCGACTCCGTGAATTGTGTTTTCGGACTACGCTGGCTTGGACGTCATTGCCCCATCTGTTCTTCCGCCACTGCGATCTGTTGCCAAGCGCAGAAAGTAGTCGACCCTAATGCTAGAAAAGAAGGCAGCCATTCTTAAGCTAACAGAAAGTTGCCGAACGCAAACGGAGGCGTAGCCTAAACAGGGCGTGCAGGCGTAACCTGAAGTAAGGCACTATTTACGTTTTTTTAAAGCCCGCTTAGACGTAATAAAGGCAAGCTTTTTAAACTGCTGATTTTTTAGACTGCTCTATTATTCAGACGTTTTTCCGGTCCCTGCGAAGTTTGAAAAATCACTCAGCCACTGCACTTTGCATTTTTCGTACGCCTGCATTATGGTAGTCCTCGTAAAAATAAAATAGTGTACTTAAAGGGGCCCTGCAAACCTATTAAGTGTCTACCTTTTTTGCGGTTTCCACATCTCTTGTGGTTCGGACAACCCAGCAGGCACTGAGAGAGTCAGTAAATATCAGGGCGGCATATTTTAACCAGATGACGCGGAAGCCTCCTCCACCTACGGGGCTGCACCATAATACTGAACGCGCGACGTGCGACGACATCGTGACGTTGTTGGTCCTGGCCAGCTCCTGCCTGAAAACTGGTCAGAGCAATTAAAACTTTTTTTTTAGTCGAAATACAAAATATAAGTGGCACAAACCGATTCAATTATTTATGAAAGTAGTTTCTGTTCAGACTTTTAGATAAAAAAACAAACAAATGCAGTTTATAAAGAACAGAAACAAGAAATGACCTGTCGGCATACCCGCCACCAAGCAGTGGAAAAGGCGGTGCATATCAGAAAGGGGTAGTGGGATCAGGTACCGCCGCGCGCCGCACATTGCTGTGAAGAGCCGAGTGTGGTCCCAGATGGACACGGCGGCGCTGCGGTTGTATGGGCTAGAGCAGGGGTGGCCAAGCTGCGGCTCTGCGTGTCCAAAGTGTGGCTCGCGGCTCCCTCACCAACCTTTTCCCCCCCTCCCCCCCATTCACACGAGCACTTCCCCAAAAAGGTAAATGGAACGCATTTTAAATCGAAAGAGAGGTTGCGGTTTGGTAGTCTTTTGGGACTGCTACCTTATGCACAGTTGGACTGCTTTTGACTCGGATAGATTGAAAGCAGTTCGAGTTTCATTTATTGCTCTGAACAAAAGTTTGCCCCCCCCTTCGCGGTTCTTGGAAGTTTCGTTGTTTTGTTTGCGGCTCTTAGGCTGGGTCAGCCTGGCCACTTCTGGGCCAGAGGATCTGAATGGTTCCGAGCGTTCCAAAGGCCTTCGGCGAGCAGGTTTGGCTTGCGGTTTGGCCGTTTGGCGGTTTGGCAGAGCAAGGTGGCTCCCCTTCTGAACTGATCTTTACCCCGTGTTTGCTGTCGTTTGTGGCCAATAAAGTGTCATGCCGAATTAGTGTTTAGTCTTGCAGCAAATGCAATGCAAGCCACCCTGGCCGCCTGCTTCATCCAACCTATCCAGAACATGCTTTAGTGGCGCCCTCTCGAGCCGTCGACATAGAGTGCGGCAGCCGTGAGCGCTGGCTGAGCTCACTACCCCTCCTCTAGTTCACGACAACCGAAGTTAGGACCAGGGACATCATAAAGGAGGTTATTTTTTGCTTGTTTTTTGTAATTCAAATAAGGTGAAGTTCGAGAAAAGAAAAGTATCACTAAGTTACTACGTTCGGTGTACTCAGGTGCGGTGCAAATTAAAAAAAACGGTTAAAAAGTCCTTGCAGGGCCCCTTTAAGAGAAAAATGTAGGTGCACCGCATTCACCTGTAAGCTGACAAGGCAGCGAAAGGTACAACCCCACATGCAATCCGCTAGTTTACGGCAACCGGAAATGATCCCTGGAATTCTGCAGACAAAGCTAGCGGTGCGCATGCACAGTCACAGTGTCTAACTCAGCTGAGGCATCAAGATAACAACAGTGAGTACTTGGCTTTACTTTCTTGATCTTTGTTTTTAGCAAGTTTGTAGACGCCTTGCAGATGTTTCAAGTAGTTTTAGAGACCGGTCATAGAAAAAATTGTGCCTTCTTTATGGTCATTCTTTGGATAAACCTGGTATCTTTATGCTGCTGAATATCTTGCCTTTATTGCTCCAGTTTCCTATTATGTTTATATGTTTTTGGAGGTAACGAGTAATTAAAGTTATCTGTTACAAATTTTTATAACGAAATTACATTACAAATTACTGTCGTAAAAAAAAGTAACATGTCAATTACAAAATTACTTGAAGTAACGGATTACTTCCCAAGTATGTCGTCGCCTAGCAGCACATCTAGTCAGTTCAACCAAACACCTACATTCCTGGCGATGTTTGTCGGATAATTTAACACGTGGCATGCATTCACTTAAAAGGGCACTCAAGTAGTTTTAGGGGAAGCTACTTTTTGGTGCAATGGCATTAAGGAAGTGTCAGTGAATGAGTATCTTCAGTTTTAGAAGGCAAAACCACCTATTAATCACGCAGAAAAAAAAATGCGTGCAGACTCTTTTCTGTTCCTGCGCCGACCAATGAAATTATTGTAGGTTTGAAAATTTTGGCGGCCTTTGTAAAGTTTGCTTAAGAAACAATTTTCAGTTCATTTAGATATGTTGTGCGTGATAATTTCACAAGACGTAAAATAGTTCTAGTTTAGAATACGCGATACTGCAATTATCGTTTCACAAAGGACTATGTTTTCTTCTTGCCTTCCTCCGCGAGGGGTGAATATCCCGTTCCCTCGGGATGCGCGGAAGCGCACGTATCATGAACTCGCGCCTCGTTGCATGCCGGTCGTGCCGGGCTCTTCTATCTGCAAACATGGTGTCGGTGGTGATAGTCGAGGTGGACGGTGTGGTGAAAGCTCATTGTTCCGCATAAAAGCACTATCCTTGACTGTGAATTTTCGTTGTGTGTCTCTATGATAACCCAGCACGTACTAGAAGGGAAGATCCACCTACTCGTGCGGCGATGTCGTGGCGGCACTCTCCAGACGGCAGAAACGCCCGTGCCGTCGCGTTTGTTTACTTCAACTACAGTGGTGCTTTCTAAGCATTTGTTTCCTCGAACATCGCCCGGATTTCTTATTTGGCGCATTTCATGCGTGTGCTCAAGTTCAAGGTATTAGTGGCGCATACCGTATAAAGAATGCGAATTTTCACGCGTTTTCATCACCGGAGAAAAGTGATTAGTGTTAGCAATCTTGAACGCTTGCAACGTCTATCTGATCACGAAACCATATTTCTACATTGCTATATCGCTGCTAAGATTACATCTCGTCATTTATAATCGTAGAAAAGGCGTGTGGCGATATTTGTACAGTTGGCAAAGTCATGCATTAGAGTCGTGATCGTCCAAGATGGCGTACTGAATCTTTTTCTTTTCTTTCATCTACTGCACCCTGCAAGCCTATCATGAAAAAAAAAAATGATAAAGTTTTAGGCTATAGAAAACTGTCTGCATCCCCTTTTTAGAGGCGCCGCTGAAGCTGACGGCGGCGTAGAAGCGGTCGCCGTGCTGCCGACCCGCTGTGCTTGTTGCAGTGGTTGCAGGTGTGTGTACGCGCGGCGCAGAGCGGTCGTTCCAGTCGCTCTGGTTGCAACGGATGCAGTCAGGTAACACGCTCGTTGCACATGTCTGAACCAGCCTGCCGTCCTCCCGAGGCGAAAGTCAACGTGGCGACATCGTTTGACATCACGTACTAGAAGTTACGCTTCGATGCCAAACCGCAAATCGAAGAACGCCCGAAAAGGTCTGTGTTTCGTCGTCCTCGGAACACGACTCCGAAGCGCTGCTATCATCTACATCGCACGTCGGAGTGGCGTCGTAGGAAATCATCCCCAGGTCAGCTGTCTGCCGAAGAATTTCAACCACTAACGGCGTCAGGTCCTTGAGCGTAGAGAACTCCGCCATGATCGAAGCTCGAATGACAAAGAGGTTCGGCCGGTGCGGCTACCTCGGAATCACTGCGCGACAGAACGTCGTCCGACGCCATTGGCCCGAGATCGTTTTGATATGCGAGCGGTGACCAATGAGAGTGGTTTCGTTTTCGGATGGATCTGAGATTCGGCGGCCTTCAATTACATTTTTATTAAAGAAATAATCACCGTATGACTACATATTTTTGGTTTTTAGGGATACTTGGGGCGTCTAGATTCAGTTGTCATCATCAAAACACAAACTCAAAAACCACTTGAGTGTTGCTTTAAAATGATAAACCTGGCAATCTTCCACAACCTTCCAATGCACTCCTCTCCCACCTTGCCTCCTCTCCTCACTCCATCCCAGGTCACATGACCTCCCCATCAACCAATCAGCATTGAGCACCTAACTCCTCCTCTCCCACCGGTCGGCCAATCGGTACAGTTTGCAGCCACGTTTTCCTCCGGGCTTCACAAAACGCCGAGCACCTAGCCAAAGAATGTTTCACATCAAAAATCAGGACAAGTTCCTCCCGCAAAGCCTTTCACCCTCTCCACATTCAGTGAATGAACGCAGGAGAGAAGGCAAGTCCACTCGCCTCCCCTTCGGCTTTTTCACCGCTGAATCAGAAAAGGCAGAGGGCCTTGTGGTAGGAGCTTGCCCCGCTCTTCCCAGCCTGTGACGGGGTATAGGCGGTACTGTGTAAAGAGCCCAGGCAAGCAAGAAATGCGGCGGAGAGGAAACCTACCGCACGAGCTGGTGACCCGCAGGCGCGAGAAGGGCCAGGCCTCCCACCGCAGGCATGCCCGGACGGGTCATCATGTTCAGGCTCGGGTAGATGGCGCTGCTGTGGGCCACCACCAGGTCGATCCTGCGGGACACGCACAGCATCACTGCCACACCCACCGTCATGCCCGGTAGACGCAGTACAAAGGGGCCGCAAAAGCCTTAGGGACGCCAAACGAGCTGCCATATTTTTTCGCGCATTACCCGCTTCAAAATTTTTATAAAGTCGCGGGCGCAAAGTAGGGGACACAAGTCGTATGCGAACTTCGGCGCGCAGTGCGGCTTCGCAACAACGCGCACGAGGTGGTAGGAATAGAAGACACGAGGCAAAGCTATACGCTCGCACCGATGTCCGGGACTGTAGCACTGTGGAGGCCACGCCAGCCTCGACAAAGTCGCATGGAAAATTCTACAGCGACTGTCAAACGAGTGAACAAGTAACTACGAGTGAAATTGCAATTTTTGCTCAGCGACGGATATAAGTGTCCCACTTGTTAATTAAGCACACCAGAGACATTTTATTTTTCCAAATAACTAGAAGCTAAGCAAGTGGAGAGTACAGTTAAACCTCGATGTAACGAAGTCGGTAAAATTCACAATTTACTTCGTTACATTGAAATTTCGCTAAATCGAAATTTGGCTTTAGCATGCGAAAACAAAATTCCGAAACATTTTACGGGTATGAAAACTCACCGAAAATGACATATAGTTAGGGGCAAAGTAGTCCGCGAGCTTCGCTTGCGCCTTGTCCGACAGTAGCAGCGGCGTCATACGGCGTTCGAGCGCCCAGAGCGCTTGCACGGCATCTTGCTGCCCATGCGACGCCGTGTACAGTACCTCCTCAGAGCCGTATATCTACATTTACGGCTCTGTACCTCCTCAGTACGTCCATTGCGTCGAGCACTTCCCGAGTGCTCGTGATCTCAGCAGTTTCTTCAGGATGGCGTCCAAAACGTTTGCTTTCTCATCCAAAGAAAGAACTTTACGTTTCCTTATACCCGCAAGCACGTGAGTGAACCGCCCGGTTGAAAAATAAAGCTGTTTAGTTTAGGCGGTGCCAATGTTTCCAACCTACACAGCACTCTTGCCCGCACAGTTTACTTGCGCCCACAGTGTGCTTGCGCCTTTGCTTTACATCACGGTCGCAAGACGATAATCGGTCTTCTCGGTCTTCCCCTAGATGGCACTGCCCGTGCGGTCGCGCCATTACGTCGCTCCCCCGCTGAAGTTGGCTCCCGCGCTACCCGCGGTACAGTGGACTATGATGATCAGTGGTGATGCTGTTATGCCGTGCAAACTTTTTGCTCGGCATTTTCTGGCCAGCCCCGCGGAATCCGCTTTGCCGCACGCCTCGCCGGCGCTACCGGCGCCGCATCCTCGGGCAGCCTAGGAACGTTGGAAGGCCTGTCCCCGTGAAGTAACCTATCAAAGCGCTCGCGTTTGCGCATAATTTTTTTTTTAACCACAATTTTTTTTGCGAAGTTGTTTTTTAGAGTCTATTTATTTATTGCCTTCTATGGCAATGGCGCTTCGTTAAATTGAAATAGCAGCAAAATAGACTTCGTTATATAGAGACTAAAAATACATGGGGTCTATGGGCAAGAAATTATGAAAAATAAAATACTTCGTTAAATCGAGGATTTCGTTACATTGAAGTTCGTTACATCGAGGTTCGACTGTATATAAAAGAAAGAAAGAAAGAGGAGTTCGCAAATCTCCGACGGATAGCAAAAAAAGAAAAAAATGACGACATTCTTGACAGCATGCACGGTTCCGAGGACGTCGACGGTAGGGTCCTGCGTATTTGTTATATACAGGCAGGCCCCAAAAAAGTAACCTTCGAAACGGTTTTATTGAGATCTAGGAAAACCCAAAATACCCCCAATTGGAGCTGTCCTCGAATCGGGAAGTACAGAGCTTGATGGGAAAAAAATCTACATCTACAACTAAGTCTCACGTTGACCCATGACATGGCCTGCACCGAGCAGACCACAAGGTCGCTTCTCTCTATGGGTCCCTGCCTCTCTTACTGGTGCCGGGACGCTTGCCCCGTATTCGGATCACGCGCACGCTCCTTGGAGGATCAGTGAAAGAGAATGCTTTTCTGTGAAAGACACTGCACCGGATGTAGGAGTGACTACGTATTTTATTGAGAGTATGTAAGAGATGGGTTTTCATTTCAATAAATGTCAGTTGCGAGTGCACTCCGTTTTCGTCACCTCCCTTATTGTCTTTGTGTGCTTTCGGCGCTTCAAACGAGAAAACACCCTCGGGTTCAAAAAGGAATAAACCCCGAAAACACGGAAGCCTAGCCAGCAGGACATCATACTCTCCCATGAAACGTTTCCCCGGACGTCTGAGGGACCATGCATGCCGTCGGGGTGAAATTTGTGCGCAACGCCCCGTGTACATATCCCCCTCTGGGGGGGTTAGGAAGAGGGGTTACTTGCTGATGTTGATGGCCCGGAGGAAGTCTGCCAGCAGGTGCGTCTTCTCCTCCGCGGAGTGCCAGAAAGTGCCCACGCGGTAGCTCAGCTTCAGGTCTGCGTCGCCGAGGGGAGGAAGAACAGGTTCTGTTATTTTGACGTCAAAGCCAGAAAGCTCGAACTCTGTCGAGGCGCTCCATTATTTTAATGCGAGGGACGTTTCGAGGAGACTTTGCCACCTGCAAGAGTTTGGGAAAACAAAACAATAAACGAAACCTTACAAGAGGAGGACGTGGTGACGATGACACGGCATCACACGCCTGGAAGGCTGAGAACGGATTTAAGCTTGATTCACATGGTTCGATTTTACTTGCAATTTTGCAAGTGTGGTGGTGAGCGCTGCAGCTTTTACCACACTCTTTTTGCCGCACGAGTGACGTCGCAACTGCGAAATTGGAAGTAAAATCCAGCATGTGAATCTGGCATTACCGTCTGCTGCGTTCGTCATGAAATGCAATTCTGCATATGAGGGCTTGATCGATAGCTCAAAACACTACTGCACATTTTTTTGCCACTGCCCGCACCTCTCACAGGCATGTCGGAACTATGAAGAGTGCTTGCAATAGTGAGCCACTCGTTAAACAAACATACCAAAATCAAGTTTTTCAAAACAAAAAAAAAACTGGCTTTATTATGTGAACATTTTTAAATGATTCTTAATGTAGTAGAGAAGTGACTTCAAATTTAACAGTGCCTTCTTAAAAATTTTGGTAACAAAGAAAAGTATATTCATATCCAACAGCAAGTATGAAACACTGAAAAGTACCATTTGTTAGAACAAATTGTGGCCAACATACAATATCACAACTCTACCGACCTTGCTCAACCAGAACCCAGTTTTCAGTGAATCTGGGTGGGTACCTCCCCGGTATTTTACAGTAGCCCGCACCGTGTAAAAATCAAACTTTAAAACACATATGTAGTCCGTGGGCCATGGCCCAGAATAAACGGTACCATTATCAGCCACCGTATCGGGTACGGTGCTTTTTGCCGGCCACCGAACCTACCCGGCCAGGTCGGAGACACGACGGTGGCTCCCACCCGGTCCAAGAACGGCACAAGGTCGGTAAAGTCCCGGTAACTGCCCGGTGCCCCGTGCAGCAGGAGCACCGTGGGGCGCCCGGCGTCCCAGGCACGGTCCAGGCCCGTGTGCAGGTAGCGCACGGGCACCTCGATGCCTGCAATGTGCGGAGCGGCACGTCCATGGGGTCACCTCAGGCTCCGCTCTTGAAGGGGCACTGACACCCCAAAGGTTGTATTTTTTTTGTTGTCTAAAACGGTGCAAGTTATAAATATAAACACACAAAAAAAAACCACAACGCAAAATGTGGAAGAGAAAGACGCTAAAAATAAAAAGGCGCGCATGCCTTTTTACTTTTGTAGTTTTTCTTTTTCGTTACTCACTGCCTTGCATCTTTTGATTTGTAACATCAAATATTATGAAATGTAGAAGCTTTGTAAGCGACATTTCTATAACATTTAATAACGGTATTCGTACATGTTTTTTAATGTAATTGCAAACGCACACGGTCCTTCTTTTTGAAATACCGAAAATCGAAGTCCAGTGTAATGTCGCCTCCTGGCTTTTTATCCGCCCTCAGAAAACATGGCGGCGCTGGACGCATGTAGCAGAGGATGATCGGTGAGTCGGGGAGTCGGACCAAGTGGTCTTTTTTAGGTGCCCGACGACCTCTCAGACTTCGGAAAGGAAATCGTCAAGTCATCAAAATGCTGGGTTTCGTGTCTGTGTAACGTAGTTTCAGTTGCGACTCCGCCGGAGCAGCCTTTCACGCAGAAGCGGCACAACGTGGCCCTTCACATCGCTCACAGAAGTCCACTGCGCGTTCTCTTCGACCTCGCACCGTATCAAAGAATTTGAGATTGCTGAAAGGGCCCTAAAAGAACTTCAAACTTGAAAGTCAAGCGTCGTCTGCCCGCAGCGATAGGCGGGACACACGGAAGAAACCGGTTGTTCGCGGGACGTCGGCGAACACGACACTTCGGAGGCGACAGAGAAATGCGAATCGCAGGACGGCTCAATATTCGGTGTCACTGTATTGGCGCGGGAACTTCAGATTCGGAATTTGGAAATTGTGTTTTTACTTTACGAATACTGGTTTCCCAAGTTTTAAATTTTAAGTATAATGTTCCGACAACAATTTCAATCATTTTGAATAATAAAAAAAAAATTACTGATGTTTCAGTGCCCCTTTAAAGCGGTACAGTTGTGTCTCTTTAATATGGATGCCTCTGTTCGTCGGAAACATCGTCCACAGTGCGAGCCGTCCAGAGAAACAAATCGGGAGCAAAACACGTTTAAGAACAAGCGTCGCAACAACAAAATTCCCCCTCCCCCGTCATAGCCTTATCTATACTCCATCTGATCGTAACTTGACAATGAATGAACGCTACAGCCACCTCGAGCCAATCAGTGACGGAGGCGAAGCCCGTGACAGCCCTCACCAAAAGTATGAAGACAAGAGCGTCAGGAGCTCTCGCGTAACCCAAGCAGCTGGAGATGAGCGGAAGGATGAACTCATATTCAGACTCTTTTTTTCTGTTCCCCTGAAATCGCATTGTCCTCCCAGAAAGCTAGCCCGTCGTTTTATATTTTTTTGAAAGCGGAATTCTACTATCTCTTGCCCGTGTCACTTTGAGGAAAGCGGGGTTCGGGGCAGGACACATTTTTTGCTCTGTGCTCGCAAAATGTAGATCCTACACTAAAACATGAGGAGTAGTAAGCTTCTTCAACCTTTGGACATTGTGTGCACCACCTAGATATGTGTAGTAGCATTAATTTTATAATGCGAGCCCAGTTTCAAAGTGGCCATGAGCTAGCAGACGACAAATCAACCACATTGACCAAACCTGCCCGAATGCGCACTTTTAAGTGATTTGGGAGATGCACGGCGGTGCATGCGCAGGAAACCGCACCTCATGTTGTCATGCCCGTCGCGTCCCCTGCAACAGCGAGGCAAAGTGGACGTAGCAAGCGAACAAACTCCAGTCCAAACCCCGACGGTTTAAACAAAAGACGGCTGCATGCATCAACCGAGTTAGTATGAACGCATTAAAAAAAATCATAGAGATCCTTGCATGCGAGGAGAAGAGTCACCTAGTTTCCCCTTCTCAGACTTCTTTTTCTCCTGTTTTTCTATGAAACCCTGAATCAAAATACATTCCGAGTAATAAATAAAAGATATAAGAAATGAAACATTATTTTGCAGTCTGCACTTCAGCATCCCGGTGTAGAGCCTTACCCTGTGGGGGTGCGTTCTGGTAGCCGGGCTTCCAGTGCCTCCAGTCGCGGTAGAGCTCCCCACACGTGCGGACAGTGACCCAGCGGTCCGTGTATGGCCAGTCGGAGGCACTCTGCTCCTTGGCTTCCTCTTTCTTTTTCAGCACCCCTCGGCCACTGGGCACCAGCACCTGCAGCCAAATGAAACATTCCTGCCAAACTGCACATCTGACCAGCCTGAAGAATCTAGCAAAATTGAGATTAAAGCCAAAATAGTGACCTCAATCAAATTACGGAATTTAGCCAAATCAAGACTTTGGTCAAACTCAGACCTTAGTCAAATCAAGATTGCAGTCATACCAAGATGTCACTGAAGCCACCACCAGAAATGCAGTGTAAGACACCTAGGGCTACAGACTCGTCAAACAAAGAGTTGGAGCCAAAAGTTTGCAGAGCCCGCCGACTGGACCTCGACGACAGGAGTGCGGTGTAACTGTTGCGAAAGTCTAAAGGAAGTCCAGCTTTGTGTCCGACAAGTCTGGGGCCCTTGGAGTCGCACTATGACAGGAGCTGCAATTTTGTTGTATGGTTCGCAATCACAATAAGCCTTAAAGGCCCCTTCACACGCCCCCAGCACAGTGCAAGCTCAGCACCATAGACACAGCACCGCCTTTGTGCTATATTGGATCTGTGTCATCGTTCTGCTGCATGTGACTTGTCCTTTTCCAGTTTGCACACACAAAGCGGTGCTAACTCAGTCCTAAGTAAGCTCTGACACTAAGACCGATGCAGCGCTGACTTTGTGACATCTCACTGCTGCACTGGATGTGGAAACCGCATTAAATAGAAGCTGAAACATAAAAATATAAGACAAGCTGTGTAAGGACCAGCCTACTCATAGTTTTGTTGTTCTCTAAAGCGTGGCATCATAATGTCATGGGACACTAATTCTCTGCTAAGTATAGAGGAAAATTTTTGTCAATAAATGACGACACACTGTGTCACGTTGTCTCATGTCACGTGACAGTTGGCGGAGAAATTTTTCTTCAAGGTTTACCGGGCCACGACGGACACAAAAACATAACCGGGATCCACCACAAAACCTTGCCAATAATGGCCGTCACCGTAAAAGGAACTTTATACCTCTGTCAGAAAGGCACTAAAACGCCATATATGCCAGATGAGATTCGGTGTAAAAGCCATTTAGTCAGTGCCACACGGCAACTCAAATGACATTTGGGCACTAAGTTACTCTTACATCGTACGTCACTTGGCATAAATGGTGCTTCAGATGCCCGTCTGATGGAGGGGTCATTCCATGCCAACGTTGCACTCAACCATTTCCGATTTTTAAAAGAAACTTCGCGGATTTTTACCCCCCATGGTCATTCATCACTTCCTAAAATATTTTCGCCAATTTTTTTTTTTATGGCGAGAGCATTGTTAGAATTTTGAATTGGGCATAAAACTATGCATTATTCAATAAATTAGTAAAAGTAAGATTTTCTTAGAAACACTTCAATATTTACTTAATGTAATTTGCATGGCATTGGGTGTGCTTTGTTATGATGATCATGCAGTTTTTATTTATAAATATTTTTTTTTAATTCACACAATGCATAAAAATTAGCACATTTCTCAATTTTTCATTCAATTATCACCTTGCACCTGACAATTATAACTTTTTTTGTATTGGAAGCTCAGTAGATGAATTAAAATGAAAAATGTTTGGAACCATGCAACAAAGTACTTAACAGAAAAAAAAATTTCTAATGTTGTGAAACGGTCAGTTCTGCTGCCTAAACAGCCGTTTATTCTACCCTAGGTAGTCCAAGTAAAAATTAATAAAACAAACACAAATTTGTTAGAACAGCCTATTGCCTTTCATTCCTAAAAATTTAATCAAAACAATTTTAATTTTTTTCGAAAGCGAGAAAAAATATATTGAATTTACAAACTCCCGCGTTGCAACCTGTCATTGTTTCTTAGCGGTTCCTCACCGCACAACATGCCACCTGACATGAAAGCTGATTAGCCTTGTGCACACGCAAGGCAATTTCTGGTCAAGAGCGCGATTTTTGCAGGAAGTCCCACGCATGTGCATTTTTGACTTGCAATTGTCTTGCGTATGAAGTCACTGTTTACAGCTAAAGATGCGCCGCGGTTTGCCGCGGCCCCATCCAGTTGTCCTTAATGGCTGTAAGGCAAACAACAGCGGATATGGTCTGACAATTATATGTGCTACCACTGCATAGCGGGATTTGCGCGCCCATTTTATGGATGTTGGCTATTCTCACTCCGAAACTTGATGCCTAACAACGTCGGCATCACACGACAGGGACTTCTATACAGGAAACGCGATAACGATGAAGCGGCATCCCACTGGCGTTTTGAAATGAAAGGACTGACGGAATGAAAGGGCAGGAAAACTAGGGGTATGCGGCAAGCAAGTCGTATTGCTTCTTGCGCAGGAGTTGCGGTGACGTAAGAATGACGTCGAGCTGTGATTGGCTTTGATTAAAAAAATAGTGGGTAGACCTCAATGCCTTGAGGACTACCCACAATTTTTTTTTTTCTTTTTTCAATCAGCCAATAAGAACTTGGCGTTCTGACATTATCGCAGCCCCTGTGAAAGAAGCAGACGAACTTGCACTCCACATTGTTTCGAATGACCATCGACTATTTATAATAAAAAAATCTGCGAAAGAAAGTTTTTTTTGTTGTTTTTTTTGTCAGGGTACGGTGCCATATTGATGGATGAAACAAGTCACTCAGCAGATGAAGTCATTCCGCGGTCCGTGCGTATGCCAATGCAACTAAGTAGAAAATCCTGATTATTTTATTTTCAAAACTAGGAGGATAGTTTTGATGTGTTGTTTGCGTTACAGAAGAACGACGGTTGAAAGTAGCCGCGGCAAACTATGGCGTGTTTTTATCTGCAAACAGTGACTGCATACCGTATATAAGGCAATTGCAACTCAACAGTGCGCATGAGTAAAACCCCCTGCGCAAATCACGCTCCCGACCAGCAATTGCCTTGCATGCGTGCAAAGTCATTGAGCTCTTTTGTCAGGTGGTGTGTTGTGTGGTGAAGAGGTGTAAGAAACAGTGGCAGGTTGCAATCAACTTCAAAAATTTTTTTCTCACTTAAAAAAAATAAATCTGTTTATGAAACTTTCAGGAAGGAAAGGCATCGCTATTTTTTTTTATTTTTACTCGGACCACCTCAGGGTAGAATAAAAGGCAGAGCAAAAAAAATTTTTTTACAACTATAGAATTTGTTTCTTTCTGTTAAGTATTTTGCTGTACAGCTTCAAACATTTCTAATTTTTAATACATCTACAGGGCTTCCAATAAAAAAAAGTTATAATTGTCAGGCACAAAGCAATAATTAAACAAAAAATGAGAGAAGTGCCTATTTTTGTGAATTAAAAAATATATATATATTTTAACAATAAAAATTGCATAGTCATCCCAACATAGCAAGTTTAATACTGTTTGAATAACATAAAATAAGTGTGAAGCACTTAGAAAAATAAATTGATTTTTACTAAATTAATGAATTATGCCTCGTTTTGTGTCTATTTTAAAAATTTAAGCAACGCTCACGCCATGCAAAACTTTTTTTCGGCGCAACTATTTTAGGAAAAGTTTAAAGACTTTGGGGTAAAAAGCCCCAAATTTTCTTTTAAAAACCGAAAATAGTCGAGCGCAATGTTTGGGACGTATTATATATCACGAAACCCTCACAGACCCCCCCTTCTAGATATGAAAACATCTTCAGCTATGACGTAAATAATCCCTGGAGAAGGGGAACAAGCGAGACAAAGGACAAACAGAAATCTCCAAACAGCTAGGTGACTGGTGCGAGACCGAAAAAATCCGCCTGGTCCGGGTATCGAACCCGGGACCCCTGCATTTTTAGTGGAGCGGTCTACCAACTGAGCTAACCAGGGGTCAGCTCAGACGGATTTTTTTGGTCGCACGCCAGTCACCTAGCTGTTGTTTAGAAATTTGTGTTCGTCCTTTGCACCGCTTGTTCCCCTTCTCCGGGGATTATTTTCGTTATTCTTGTCCAGCTGGCTGGCACCTTTGCATTTAATCGCATTATAATCTTCAGCTACTCTTTAGTTCTTCATACCACGGAGAAAAGGGGCGATTTTTGAGGAATGAACAAAACATTTTACAGCAAGCTGTTAGTGCCCCTTCCTGGCAAAGAATGCTCATGTTTGAATATATTTGCTTTCATACATGAGCATTTTTTAGCACTTTACAGCAGAGGCACTGCTCTCCCTCTCCCCGTTGTTTCTCAGACATGGCAAGGCTCTCCTCGCCCCCGCCCCCCCTTCTCCCCTGTGAGCCGCCGCTGTTGCTGACACTGAAATACTCTGAGATGAGAGCAAGAGCACTAAGACAGCTGTAACACAGTACAGCAGTACATAGTAAAGATACATTTTAAGATAAGGTACAAATTATTTTCAAATACAAATACTGAAATGCACAACAAAAGCCAGGATAATGAGACCAGAGTGCATTTGCGAGCAGAATTGCAATTCCATTCCAGAAAAAGTTAGGAAAAGTTAAGTATTTGGAATTTAAAATATGGATAGAAATACTGCTTATAAAATGCATTGTTTAAATATATGTTTAAACAAATATGTTTAAATGTGCATTATGGTCACATTAACTCTGCCCGTGGCTATTTCTGAGTGCCTGACAGGACCTTTAGAGCAACATTTTTGAGGGGGCTTCACAAGCAACAGTTGAGCAGCTTCAGATTTAATAAAAGAGGATGCTAAATAGGGCCACTTGATGCACTTTGTTATCATCCCAGTGTCACTTGGATTCTAGTTATGCTCCTATTACTATCAGATCTTGTCCTGACCTGAGCACGATGACTGTAACCGGATTTCACTGCACAAGAAACTGGTAAGAAACGCTGGACGCAAAAGAGCAAGGGAATGGCAAGGCAGTAAATCGGGAAAACCAGGTACTGGAAATACTGGCAGTGGCACAGACCTTGCAATGCACTTGGAAATGCAAGGAATTGGAAGATGGTGTTCATAGCTTTCACTAACGAAGTGGCGAAATTTGAGCTATTACCATTGAAAACAAAAAGTTAAATTGCACTGGTTTGTACCAGATACCATATTTTCCTGACCATAGTGTGCATATGAAGTATATAGTGAATGTGCAAATTTCAGCTGCAGAAAGAAAGCTTTTATGCAGATGTCCACACACAAAAAATTCTCAAACACCCCACTCACACCTCAAAAAATGTCTGCCACATTAGCACACATAGAAGCTACTATCATACAAAAATCACAACCACAGTAGTAACATAGCCTGTCATTCACAAAATTCATTATGTTTCGTCAGAATGAACTACCCATCTCGAAAAGCTAGTCCTTGAATAGGCCTGTTTCTTTCAACCAGGGGGCACTGTACCATTCACAAGACATGACCACAAAGGAGGCGCCTCCCCTAGCGTCTGCAAGACGCGACCATTCAATGTTGATGGAAGCGGCGTCCTGTTGACTCATCCTGTACAATCCTTGGGCAGGAACTAGCGTCTGGCAGCTTCCCTCAGCATCTGCTCAAGGTTCACGCGCACAAACAGAACGTTCGAAAGGATGCAACGCTACGCACAGTGGAAACGCGACCAAAAATATCCTACGTTTCTCGCCAGGGGCACCTGTAGATATCCTGCACCGCATAAAATATGAACCTTTAAACATGTATAGCCTGCATACTATAAATGCGGTATACATTTTTTGATATTAAAGCCCCATGTATTTCAGATCTGCTATTTATGCCACTAAAAATATAACAGTAAAATCCTATCTGTCCCTGGCATTATTATAACTTAATTTACTGCCCTTAAATGCAACTGAGCTGGGCACATGCTGAGAGTCATTTCATGATGTCATGTGGCATCACAACACCCGAACGTGACGCCAAGTCGAATGATGTCACAGAGTCACATGACCGGTGTGTCAGTCGAGCGTGGCACTTTTCTGACGAAATCCAACCCCGTAACACAATCTACGTTAGAAGAGGCGACAGAGAAGCCATTCGTCCACACCTGCGTGGTGGCGACTGCCTCAATCTGGTGGCGCACCACGGAGGTAGACAGGGAGCATCGCACCACACTGGATGATGCCCATCGCACCAGCACCACTCTCAGGGAACACTGCATCTGTGGGCAAAGGAAGACACTGTTCAAGTTCGGGACAGGCAGCGCCAGGCATCGTTGCATGCAGCCCGCAACTGTTTACGAAGAAGGTCACGTGCGCCTACTTACACATGCAACCTGCTGGCGAAAAACACTGATGGGAACCAATCGTACAGATCTAAAAGCGGACGAGCAAACGATGAGGCATGGATGACGTCTGAACTCGAAGCGGCGAGCTGCGCTTGTTAACCGAGCAAGGCGCCCAAGCGCCAAGACTCCCAATACAGTTTATTTTTTTTTTGTGTGTCCAAGTATCATCCATGCCTCATCATTCGCTGATGTCCATTTGTAACTGTCTATGATAGGCTCCCATACCACTTTCTTTGTAAACAAGCACAGAAGAAAAAATCTGCAGAAGTATACTTTGATTGAACTGAGTGGAAAAGAATTACCAATAAGCTACGGAAGGACTAAAAAGATGACGTGAAACACCTAAGTGTAACTACAAACCATTCATTTCTTCTCAGAAAAGCAGATCACCGAATGCAAAAGAAACACGACAAGAGAAATAACATGAATAAACAAACAATTATTTTGCAAATTCCGGCAACAGTTGATTGTTGCGCTTACCTCTTCTCTGTATGTTGTTTCGTATTCGTAGTCCCTATGGCTGCGTTTACATGAATGCGGCAGTAGCACATTGAATTGAGAGTGAACCAATCACACTCGCCCAGACCCTCAGCTTCTTCATTTTTAATACGATCACAATCGTCATCTCTATTTGATGCACTACGGGCGTATCCATGTATCCGGGGCTCAAGTGACATTTAATGGTAGTCCTTTGCAGTAACCTGCTAACCATAATTAGAAAATTGGTAAATAGAAATAGCGAGGCAAGATTCTGAGTGTACCTTTCCGTGCACATTTGACAGATATCAGGTTGCATTCGTAGGTGTTCATTTCAGTCTTTTTTTTTTTTTAATGCCACATCTATAGATAACCCTCTGCTGCATGGGCACTGCCATCTTGGAATCACATGATGCAGCTGCCATAAGGCGACTTCAAATCGTCGCTCCTCTTTCCATTCCATGCCCTGGCGAAGGTGTTGTATTCCTGTTTTTCGTCGCGTTTTAATTACTGTGCTTTTTTTGCCTTGCTTTGTAAAGTGTCGTTCGATACCTACTTTTATTACCTAACTGCATTCCATCATTATGTGCACAACTTATGCACTTAATTTTATAGCATGTTTTGACTATTTGCATTGTCGGCGTACCGGGTACATGTGAGGAAAGGAATCAGCGTTGGCACTGGCAGACATTGAGTATGCAGATGACTCTAGACACACGAAGGTTGAGAGGCCAATTATTTATGACAGCAGAAATTTGCTTAAGTGACAGAGGCTGATATTAAAGAACAAGGCAAATATAGTTAACGCAAGGAATCAATCGCAGTGTTTGTTGAAACCATTGTGCTCTGCCTTCATAGCAAATCAAAAACACTTATTCTTGATTATATGGGGGAATCATTTTTTTCAGTATAAACATTCACTTGACCTGTTTATTTATAAATTTAAAGAAACTATACACTCTGCTAGGTCTTATGTCTGCACTATCCAGATATCCAGGTCAAATAATTTATTTAAACACAAAGGGTGGTCTCCCCAGGTGAGAAGCGTGTCAAAGAGAGCTTGTGAGTGTGACGAAAGCGCCTGAGGCACGCAAAAGGCGACGCCGATAAAAAGCCATCTGCATTGAAATCACTCGAATGCAGTGTTGTCAATGCCGGACTTATTCTCGACACCGCTATAGTAAAAAGCGTATCTGTTGAAACAAATAAAGACCTGTCTACACAAATCCATGAAGTGGCACCTGGCACTTGACTTGAGCCAAGCTAGCTGGAGGTCAATTCTCTTGCCACAATTAATTTTATTCCACAATTTATACGGAAGACAGATGTCAGACTTCAGTTGACTGGTTTGTCCCTTATCTCATATTCTCAATATGCTGTAAGGAAATGTCCGTAGAACAAATAGTTTCCCGAGGTCAACATTGCGAAATGCTGCTTATGAATACTTTAGCAAGACTGACAGTCGAAACAGAATGTCTACACGGCCTAGGAAGCACCATTGAAATATCTCTCAAGCACTTATTTAAAAAAAAAAAAAATGGAGACAATATCGCTTCTTTTTTACGTTCCATGTGTCATTACAGGGGGGGTTTCATGGTCAGCAATTTTCACAAACCGTTGGTGTCCTCGAAAACCGAGCAGCAAGCACTAAACTTGCGAGTTCATCTGTTCTGTGCAATTCAGCACATTTAGTCAGGCCGTCGACTTGCTTTTTCACTGCCTCCATGCATTAGTCTCTTCATTAGTTCATTTTTGTGGATACTAGAACAGCGGATACGTCCAGCACGGCCGAAGACTTCACTAACTTTCCCCCGGCATCATTTCAGCCGTTTTGCCACCGAACCTGGCCGAACGAGGAACATAATCGCATGAAGGTGTTCGATAAAACATGCAGAATTGAGGTTCGTAACCACGTCGTAGCTCTCAACGTGGCCCGTCACTACTGTATTATTTGTTCTGTACTACAAGGGATACATTTATGTCACAAAACTAGGTGAGAATGACATAACACACGAACAGAGCCGCGAGCCCCGCTGAAACCGAAACTAACAAAATTGAAGGCACCTTATGGCACCACATGTGTCAGCGCTCCCTGTGCACCGTCAGCACGAACACAATATCGGTACTTTTCCTAAGTTTACGTGTGAGGAGTAATAATGGGTACCAAGTATCACTGCCGAAGTCAACTCACCAAGTGAGCACTCTACACCATATTAGAGGTTTTGAGACAGCCTTCTAATTTTAAGAGAAAAACCGCACAAAAAAAATTGTGATCGCTTGTTTGTGCCGACAGTGTCACAACATCTACAAGAAAGGATGTGTGGAGACTAGAATGTTTCTTTGTCATCGGCAAGATAAAAAAAAAAGGATATTCGAGGCAGGCTACTAAAAGCAACAGCTAACTTGGTGATGTCCGTCCATCTTCTTCTTTCCCGTTCCACTTTTTAAACTTTTTTTCTTCTTGTCAAAGACTAAGGTTAAGTTGTATCATACTTTAGAATACATAGACCAAATCTAACCTCCAGTGAGCCTTTCCCGCACAGGGGGTCTGGCAACTCGCCACAAAAAGAAATTTCCAGCGAAGCATTAGGAGTTGCTCCTTCGCTGCAGATTGAATTTTATTAGTAGAGAATTGGCCCTTTGAAATCAAAGAAGAAAGGCCATGACGGATTCGACGGTACTATGTACAAGAATAAACCATTATTTTATGGCATAAAACCATCTCTTGTGCATTTCAGCAACGTATTTAAACATAAACACATTACAGATATGCGTGCTCATTTTTTTCACCAGACGAACGTAACATTTGTACACGCATCCAGTCGTTGTCAAGAGCTTTTTAGCATCCAAGGTTTTGGCAGAATTTGCTCTTGCCCCTGCAACTACGGTCAAGCGGCCTTCTTTGGCCACCCAACTATAGCTGCGCAACAAGTGTTCCATAACAACTGAAAGCAATCTGACGCGGCTAAAACGCACCAGATCTGTCTGCCAAAAGAGAGGGATATGAGCAGTGAACCCGTCACGCATCCAAGGTGCACCTGGGGCGACTTGGATGCTTCATGCATCCCAAGAGCAGCACACAATCCCTTCCCATTATATCATGGTGAGTTCGAACATGCAGAAAATAAAACAAACAAAAAAGGTCATCGCAAACTTTGTTCTGCTTCCCTTTCCATTTTTGAAATCGCAAAAAGAACCAACATTAGCTTCGTCTTTTACAGCCGGGCGAACAGTCGGATCATCATAATGTGTCACAAAGACTGGGGGGTGTAGCATATCTTTGGAATGGTCTATTAAAGTTGCGTTCTGTTCTTTTTTAATGTAAAAGCATTAGCTGTCCCATGGAGCGAACCGGCGTTGTTTGTTTTTGAAGCCATGCACCAAACGGCACCTAAATTCCCCTATACTAATGAAGACAAGCCTGTCATCTGTAGTAGCGATTTGATGGAGAGGCTCCCATTGGCTGGCGCGCGTCAGTTTCAAGGAACGACTCCCCATGGTGCTGCGGGCCCTGCACCAATAAAAGGAACACGGTGGCGCGCGCTCGGCAGTTCCTACTCCTCTCGACGCCGACGAACATGGCGGCACCTCGTGCATTTACATCGTTGGCGGCCGCAACCTTGGCAGTAGCGAAACCTGCCCGTCCACGCAAGCACACCGCAGACAAACTAAGAGAGCGGAAAAACGCAGCCCAACGGGCAAAGAGGCAGGCAGCGAAATCCACCATTGTTGTCAAGTCTCCAAATACACGGCAAGCGAAACGAGCACTGGCGCTATACGCTAGGAGACAACAAAGCCTATATAAAGCATGAGGCGCAAGCGGATCATGGTTCGAAGCTTCTGAGGCGGCATGAGGACGAGGCCCTTCGACAACGCGAGGCAGAAGCGATACGTCGCAGGCGGCATGCTTTCGCATTCACGACTCATAAGAAGTGCTTAGGCGTACTCTGACTTTATTATGACTTATGTGTGAAGATCATTTTTGCATACCCATAATTTTGAGGAACTGTAATAAAATTAAATTGGATAAATGCCAAATTGCAAAAAATCAGGAATCTAAGAAAAAGCAATACCAAATAAATGCAAAATTTGCAATAAAAAAAAGAAAAAAAGGAATGGGCATGAATTTTGCCATGAATGAACTTTTGTCATAGTACAGGACAGAAGTTAGGTGAAGTCGTAGAAAAATTGCTACTTCTATTTTCATTTTATTGAATGGTTTTTGTGATTTCATATTCCAATTCTAGACCCAATTCTATATTCGACGGTCTCAGAGGCCTCAAAGAACCTTCCGTGTGTGCACCACAGTAAAATGACAGCTAAAAAACACCTGTAGCCTAGGGACAAAGAATGCCTTACCCTGAAGGCAGACACAAGTGCCATGTAGCTACTTTATTTGTTGTTTTCTCCTTTCCAGGTGGATGAGACGAGGGGCCACAGAATAAAAATGTATGGATTGATGCAAACAGCTGCAAGTGTAGGAAAGCACAACACCTACAAACACCAACTAAACACAGATTTTTGCACAGATAGACTTTGAGAAGAAACTGGTTTCACCAGCTCGGTCATTCTCCACTCCAGCTGTATGCCCTCATGTTTCTCCTCTCACCCTTTGCCCTTCCTCTCTGTAACTTGCTCCCTCCAGAGATCTCAGCCTGCCTCCTCGCTGATAAAGACAGCTGCACGGCAACACCGCTCCCATGTGTGCCCCGTGTTTCTTAGTTGCGATGTGGACGTAGCTTACAACAGATGATTTGCACATACACCAGAGCGCTAACTCAGCTATAGACAAGGGGCACTGACAGTAGCACTGATGCAGTGCTCACTCTGTACTAGTCAGTGCAAAGGTGCATGTGGGAACAAACCTTAAACTAACAAGGTGTATGGGGAAATATGTGCACTGTATTTGATATTATCACCTCAAACTTAGAGTCGAAATTTTAATTCGGCGTCAACTCTTTCAGTACAGTAAACTTCTCGTCTGTGCACAAGTGAAGAAGTGGATTACCTACCAGAGCAGTGGACTTGCTCACATCATATTGGTCTTTACGATGCTGGAAAGCTAAAAGCAGATATTGAGTCAACTGGCCTTTTCGGAGAAGGGTTTTATGCACGTGGGAACTCTCCTAAAATAGCGACGAAAGCTCCAATTATGGTCGGTGGACAGACGCAGAAGTGAAAGAACTATGTGGGGAAATGTGCTACTTGTCCTGTATCCTCTGCGCCTCATGTGTTGCCATTCTTTTTTTTGCTACATCATTTGATATGCAATGCAGTTTTCTTTGAAAGAAACGCTTGTTCCGCTAGTCAGTGGAGAATTTTAGGGAACCCTTTTGCGGCCCCCATACAATTGGCCGAATCGTTGCCACACGCTGTACCAGAAGCCCATCCTCACTTGCGTTGGTTCGATCGCAAACTAGTCTTTCTGCACACAGAGAAAGCGTAAGGAGGCCGGAAAGTAGGGTGAACCGATCTGTTACAATCGTTTCAACCTTGTCAAAATTGGGGTGAAACAGGAATGCACTGCCAGTAGGCGTGTAGCCCGGGGGGTGTTCAGGTGTCAGAACACCCCCCGAAATTTTACTTATTTTTATATGTAAATATATATATATTTTTTTATTGTGTCTGTGATTGCGCCAGCACCTTGAAACACCCCCCGAAAATATTTTCTGGCTACGCCACTGACTGCCAGCCAATAGTCTGGGCTTGTCCCCACAGGTGGTGCAGGTCACTACCTGATATAGAAAGGCTCAGCCGAATGCCTCCATCTATCCATTCCTCCTATCCCAGTAAGTGTAGTTAGTGCACCAGCCACTTGGTGTCACCTGCATGTGGAAAAGGATTGACTATGTACTTCAAAACAGAGGAGTATAAAATAAATTACTTAATATCAACCAGGCTTTCATAGATGTGGCAGCACCAAGTATGTATTAGCTGAATGCAGAGATTACCTTTATTGAAACTAAAGCGAATATGCACGCGAGTTGGTTCAATACGGGCATGGTAACCCAGGAGCGGGGGAAAAAACATTGGAGCTTTGTGTTGTCCGTCCAGTTTCTTTTGCCCGCTTCTGGGTTACCATGTCACTACATTTATGACCTTCTTTCTAATCATGTTGTCCGTTGCCCTTGCATATGTATTTTTGGCACATGAAAGGTGACATATGTACAGTGAACAACACAAAATCACCTCTTTTTTGCATTTCAATGAAACATTGTCTAGCAGCCTATTTTATGGCTTAAATTAGTTCAGCAGTAGTAGTTCTGATTGCAATGCTTAAACAATGCAAAAAAAAAAAAAAAACTAACAATGTTACGTTTGTGGTAACTCTGCCAAGCTCTGTATGTTCATTAGTGCCAATCATACCATCATCTCCTCTGCAAAAAAGTAGTCATGCAAAAACTGTATCAACAAAAATATAAATAAACTGTAACAAACATGTCATCTGCGCTTTTTCTATTTTATGTAAGCAACTTAGTTTGAAATAATTAAAATGTGTGGTTGAACACAAAAGGCAAAAACAAGAATCCTAAAATCTTAACACACACCACTTCATATATAAAAAAAAAAAAAAAAAAAAAGAACTCTTATACGACGATGTTTTAAATTTCGAAGCAGGCTCCTACAAAAACACTCAAGCTGCATTACCTCAAATTTGATATCGAGATAACCAATTCATGTCAACCGTCTTATATATGTGCAGAACCAGAGGAAATTCTTATGGCCCAACCGAGAAGCAATTTACCAATGGCTCAATTACGGTACCCGGTAAAACCTCTAATTGCATTAGGTAACAGCCCTCTTTATTTTGGTCTTTTCTTTCCGCACAGCGCACCCACGTCACCGATTTATTCATCATTCCACGACACGAACCACCACCATCCAAATCGTTCGCGATACATGCTGTTTCGTGACGGCCGCCAGTTCCAGTTCGGAAAAAGATAAATAAAAGGGAGCGGTTAATGAGAAGAGTGCGACAAGGCGGGAACATGCCAGAAGCAAGCGGGGCCCCACATCCTCAAGCGCCTCGCGTCACGTCAGCGAATGTTCAGGGCAGCTGGCCATTTCCAAAGGGGTGAAGGGGTAGACGTTTACCTCATCCAAACTCGCTCAAAGACACCACCATTCGCGCAACTGGAGATCTCCGATTCCCTGCCACGTTCGAGCGGCGCCGAGGTTGACAAAGGGGCCAACGGACAACTCTGTCGAACCCCGACTTGCAAAAGAGAGAAGCGGACACGAGAAGCTGCCGCAAACCCGTTGACAGCGGCTATTCCGCGTGGCTTTTGTCGACCGGCGACAATGCACGAGCGCAGGTCGGCGCCCAGAGAAAAGAAAAACAAAAAGCGGCGACTACTCACAGCCGGTGGACGACGAGAACGGCAGCGAACGAGTCTAGTTGGCCATGTTCCGTTCCCGGCGCACGCCGAAGAGATGATTCTGATGATGAGGAGAGAAGCGGAGAAGTCCACGAGTTGAATGAGCTCCCAGTGCGAGGAAAGGCTGTTACGTCATGATCGTACGATGCGTCGCCCCTGGGCGGGCGGCACGCCGGGCGCGCCGTGCAGAAAGGGCAGAAAGGGGGACCGGCACCGACCAACTCCCACCTAATAGAAAAGGTCTGCGCATGACGTCATTGTTAGTGGAACCCCAACCCGCCCCAAGCGGGATACACGCTGAAGCTCCATGAGAGCCGCCGCAAAGCGGCGGAAGCGTCCGTCGTCGCGTCGCTGCCTGTAGCATTGCGCTTGTTGTGTGACATGCTGCGAGACGCGCCGGAGGTGCTACAGACGCATGCTAGGCGGCGCTGCGGAACTATCTTGTGATGATGTTAAAAGGGGGAAAGGCGCGTGCAGGACTCGTGGGGATTTTTCGCCAAGCGTTCCACCCTGGCACGTTCTGCGCATGCTCGGCCGTTGCCGGGGCGACGGAGAAGCGCACCTTGTGATCACGTGATCGCAACTTTCGGCAGCGTGGCAGCACCCATCTCCCGGCATCGCGTACGTCGGCCCTGCGACTTCTGTGTTTTATGTCATGGAGCGATTCGTGATAATAAAGCAGTGGCGGCGTCCCCGAAATTGCTGGATCTCTTTCCTCTCTTTCTCTCTCTCTGTCTCTCTCCCCGTCCGATCGTTTTTCCAACTACAGGTTTTTCACCTCCTCAAGGGCGAACATAAAAACCTATTTATTAAAAAAAAAATAATAATAAAAAAAAAACGTATAAACCAGTGAAGATAGGACGCAGGCGAGCTGGCGAGGGACATTACAGAAAGGCGAAATTCTTTTTTTAGTATTATTTGTCTTATTAGACTTTTGGGGGTATATATTTTTTTCTACGCAGAAATGTTTAGTTTCTTTGGGTAAAATGGCAATTATTAGGTCAACAAAACAGATATATTATGTTGATAAATAAATAAACATATATCAGCTCTCATAAGGTCACGTTAACATAGCAGAATATTTCTCCAAAACTTACCTATATTTTTCAAGCTGAGTTAACAAAAGAAACACATCAAACGTTGTATTACTTTTTTGCTTACAAGATGGGGCGTGGAAACTTTGCAAGGAGACAGTGTGTGTCGCGCACACACACCTGACTTAGTCAGCCCTCTTCTTTCGAGAAAGGTAATGTAGGGGGTCGGTGGCCGAGTGGGCTGAAGCGCACACCCAGCTCGACGCGCGTGGAGCGAAAGCTCGCGCTGCAGAACCCCACCCCTGCCCCACCCCTGCCCGCTTCGATCTGGATGAGCATCGTACCGGCGTGCGGTCGTGTATCGCTACTGCGTGGTGTACGTTAAAGACCCCAGGCTAGCGGTTGTACTGCACTGGCTAAATTGCTCATCTACAGTGTAAACCAGTGTCTGGCAGACCAACCTTACGCTGTATAAATCACTCAAACGTTCAATTTTGAAAGGTAATGTAGTTGCATTGCACACAATACATTAGGGCTTTTTATAATTGTTTATCAGATATCGATAACTATCTTGCCGCTAAAATCCGAATTTACTCGTAACAATCTTAATGGCCTTCAGTTACTAAGTGAATTGTAAACACCATTCCAGGGTGCCATTTTTATTTTACGCCATGTACACCAAGCGACAACTAGTTCTATTAGTTAAAATATTAATTCGACAAAACGAGATAGAAAACATATAATAATAAAAAAAAAAACAGCTCAGTTAGGTATATATCTTCCTGAAGACTTGGCAAAGACTCATAAGCGCGGATTCACGTATCACTTCTCTGAATACCATTTTCAAAAGTAAATTAAAACCCTACAACCAAAATTAACCATTTTGTGCTTAGTCTAATTCAACAGCCATAAAGACATTTCGGTAGCCATTTAATGGCATCGTAGGTCAAGGACTCATGGCCTAAAGAATGAAAAAGTGCCACGGTTCAATTAGTTTAAAGGTATAGACGCTTTTAAAATCGACCTTTAATATTAGAGCACAGCTCAAGGAGCCCGTTTTCGAATTTCGCGTCGTCGCCGTCGGCTTCACCGCCCCGCTAAATTTAGTGGGAAATTGAATTGGTGTTGAGATCATGGGACGTGAAGTTTCCCGCTAAATCTAGCGGAGAAACTGAATTTGTTCATAGGTGACGTGACACGAAGTCATGTGACGTAATTTTCCCCGCTAAATTTAGCGGGGAAAATGGCGTCACATGACTTCGTGTCACGTCAGCCATGAACAAACTCAGCGGGAGGAGAGGAGAAGGGAAAGGGAAGGAGGAGGTGGGCAGGAGGAGGAGGGGCATTCCCTCCCCTCCGTACCCTCCCCTCCTCTTCCTCAAGAATAATAATTTGGGTTGTGTGGATATTTAGAGAGCGTGTAGTTGGTCAGCCATTTCAAAGTTGCGACGAGTCACTCGCTGTAGATGAGCAATTTAGCCAGTGCAGTACAACCGCTAGCCTGGGGTCTTTAACGTGCACCACGCAGTAGTGATACACGACCGCACGCCGGTCCGATGTTCATCCAGATAGAAACGGGCAAGGGTGGGTATTGAACCCAGCATCCTGGGTTCTGCAGCGCGAGCTTTCGCTCCGCGTGCTCCGAGCTAGTGAGCACTAGCACAGTCGGCCACCGATCCCCCCTCCTCAAGAGCTGCTCTCTAGTTTCGCATTACCGAAATTTGTAAACGTCGTTCTTTTTTTTTTTTTTTCTCTTATTAAGATTACTTCAATTCATCATGACCACAGCGGGGCAGGTTACTGCCATTTTAAATTCTAGTGTGCCCTTCTCCCCAGCATCGGCTTTTGTGGAGGCTCGCCAACGCCCGCGTCAGCGGCTCGGCATTTGGGTAAGAGACCTGGCGCGTGTGCACAGCGTCTGTACGTCACTGCTAACTACATCGTGAAATTTAATAGATACGAATTATGTCTTTAAATAGCTAGTTGAATATGGTTCAGAACGAAACCTGTTCATATTGATGTTCCAACGTGAACATTTGGCAGAAATCTGTCTAGGGGCATAATCCTATTAAAGTCAACCTTGGGCAGGCCGTGTCGGACCAAAACGTCAGGTCATTGAGAAAAACTACTGCTTGGATAGACATATTATTTTGATTATAGATATGTTTTAAAACGCTTTTCTCTTACCGAAACCAATCACTTTTTCCACAAGGGCGCAGCCATCTTGAACGTCGTCGCTTCTGGTATGCGGTAAAACATCGTTTTGATCTCGTTACGCCGCTGGAAAGTGTTTACGAAAGATGCGGGATTGTCACACATTCCTGTTTTGCCTCACCTATATTTTCTTACCAATTCCAGGGTGAAATGTTTTATTATTTCTTCGTCCCGCATACCAGATACGGAATCCGCGTGACTGAGAACGGCAGAAAACAGAAAGCATCTACACTCAGTGCGATGGACTGCAGCCAATCTGGAAATCTAACCATCTTGAAAAAGGTAGTTTGACAAATCGCCGTGTCAGGAAAGTCAACAAAATGAAGGGAAGCGCGCTATGAATTCCGTTCTAGAAATTTCTCGCTAAAATTTGAGGTTACATAAAAATAAAAAAAGGGAAGTTTTTTAGTTCTTAAATTTGCTCCTTGACGTTTTTTTTTTTTTAAGCGAATGTTTTTATTGGTAACACTGAAAATGTGACGACAGATGGTGTAATGATGTGGACTGTGGAACCTGCTCGCGACGGTTTACAAGAAGTTTGAGGGTAAGTGCTGGAGAGAGAGAGAGGAAAGATTTATTGTAACGCAAACACCTGGTCCGGCGCTCGCGGAGTAGATCTGCCACTCTTCCCCAAGCGTTGTGAACGCGCCAGATCAGTAGTTAGACAAACACATCGAGGGGCTTTAGGTCGGGCTGGTGTTCTTTTGGTGCGGCAAGCCAACTCTCCCAGGAGGTGGGGTTGAGGTAGGGGGGGGGGGGGGGGGGGGGGAGTTGTAGATATAAGCAGTGTTTATAGGGGTACGGAAACGAATATTGAAATATACAAATTTTGTTCGTAAATCAGTCAAGCATGACGGATAATAACCGTAAATTATAATCGCACGTTTCTATTTTTAACGGCTGGCTGTATTTTTCGTTACAAACGGTACACTTGATCAAGCTCGAAGAGAAGCGAAAGGAGAGTGCAATGCGTCATAAAACATCCAGCACACACACAAAAAAGATTTCTTGCATTTGTGACGTAGCAAGGCTGGCGTGGATGAGCTCTGCTGTTGGTGGCGTTGTGGTGGCGTCAACGGGTTACAAGTACAACCGAACCGTTTGAAGTGCCCGTGGGATGACGAGCGTATCACGTGTCAGACGGTCGTCACCCCCCTTCGGAAACGACGGACGTGCGAGCCGGATCAACAGGGCACCAAGTTCCTCATCGTCCGGAAACTTGTGGATCGGCATATCGCTGCTGACCAAACCACAGTTCTCAGCCATGAAGAAGCGCGGCGACATCTCGACGTTAAAAAGCGCAGAACGGCTTCGATCTGTACAGCAAAGATACAGGAAAAACTCGGTGCATTCCTCAGTGAGTCCATGATGGCATCTCAGTGGCTTCATTCGCAAAGGGGCAAAGGCTTCGTTATCGCGTTCAGGCCGAGGTAACTTAAACAGTTGAGCGTACTTCCAAACAGCGGCGCTGCTCTGATATTTAGTGTGGCTACGTAACGGTTCCTGCTACGTCATGACTACGTAGCAAGATTCCCAACTTTGCTAGATTACCTCCCAACTAATATTCGCAGACATCCGCCAGGTGCACAGTGAAAGATAGTTTAATTAGCTTTAAATATAGTTTTATTACCTTTCGACGAAAACAGGTGTTTTTCAGGTTATGCTGCAACATGCAACACATTTAAGCTAGAAAATGAGCGCTGCAATTTCGTTATCGTGCCTCTTCCAAGTTTCCCGTCAGTTGCGGAAGGTCCTACAAACTGTGATAAAGGGGGATATGCGGTGGAGTTTTATTAGATGCACACAGAACCGACTTGATCAAAAAGTATGCATAACCCGGCATGTTTCTCAGGAAACAAAACCAACCGACAACGTTTATTTTCAATATTTTTCTCGTCAAGTATCAAGGCTTAATAGTGTCAGTGAGACATCCACCATTTTGTTCCACACGAAATCGACATGGCTGCTCACAACATAGTTTTTCTCTCTATGGAGATGGCTTCCACCAAAACTTGAATGGAGAAATCCCTAATATTTCTGATTACAATATTGAGTACTTGTGATTGTGTTTCACCAACGCCAGAGTTATGACAGGGGGTTTCGACTCTCGACAACCCTTCAAAATTGGCGGGGAGTCCGAGACCCCCCCCGAGGCTCCCCTTACTTTAAGCACTGGATATGAGTGGTCTCGTGTGTGGGCATTCCCACATTGTGTGTGCTTTGGAAGGGATGTCTCAGCAGTGCGGGCAAGAGGGTCGTCCGGCGAACCCCTGTATGAAGTGTGTATAGTGGGGGGTCATGAGTGTGTGAG